TCAAAGTCAATATTCTTGATTGAACTTACCTTCCTAACTAGCATTATATATCTTGGGAATTCTTTGTTCATCCCTGGTTATGAGGTAGGGTGGAGGAGAGGTGATTGTGTTACTTCATACAAGTCCTGCTACCCATAAAGTTTTCACTGGCCAGTTTTTTCAGAAGTGGATCACTAGGTCCTTTCTCAGTCTGTCTTAATGGGGACACTCCTCAGGAGCCTATCTACTATGGGTGACCCTGCTAATATTTGAACTACTAGTGGCATAGCTTCCAGCATCACAGCAACATACAAGCTGACAAACTGACAGACAAGTGGTGGTTGTATCCTTTCACCATCCTGTTCAATCTGTATGCTAAACAAATCCAAGAAGCTGAACTATTTGAAGAAGGCTGTAAGGAGGAAGACCTTATATAGAACCTCAGATGTGCAGATGACACAACCTTGCTTGCAAAAAGTGAAGAGAACTTGAAATACTTCAGTATGGATTATACCTTAATTAAAAAAACAAATCCTTACAACTGGACCAATAAGCAACAGGATTGAAAAAATAGTGAACTTGTCAAAGATTTCATTTCACTTGGCTTGGATCTACAATCAATGCACATGGAAACAGCAGTCAAGAAATCAAACAACATACTTTATTGGGCAAATCTGCGACAAAAGACCCTTAAATGTGTTAAGAAGCAAAGATGTCACCTTGATGATTAAGGTGCAACTGACCCAAGCTATGGTATTTTCAATTGCCTCATATGCATGCGAAAACTGGACAATGAATTAGGAAGAATTGCCTAGGAGCAGAAACTCAGACAATGTATTTCCTCTAGAACTGACAGAGAGAGAAAGACTTTCTCTGGAGCCCACACCATGAATGCAAACTCCAAACCTCCTTCCTAAACTGTGAGAAAATAAACTTCTCTTTGTTCAAACCACCATTTATGGTATTTCTGTTATATCAACATTAGATAACTAAGACAGATATCATGCTTGATAAAGTAGAGAGTCGGCATCAAAGTGGAAGGCCCTCAATGAGATGAATTGGCATAAGTGGCTACGGTAATGGGCTCAATCATAGCAGAGATTGTGAGGGTTAACTGGACAGTGTTTCATTCGGGTGTACATAAGGTTGCTATGAGTCAGAGCCAAACCCACAGCACCTAACAACAATATCAACAACCATAAGAGGACTGCCCATCTGGGTGATAGAACTTGTTTTGTTTTAGGAACTCCACTAGGGCTTCTAGTCCCTCAAAGAATGGTCACCCACTGCTACTGTGTGGTATCTTTGTCTTCAGGCTGTGCAGGCTGTTCTTCAAGTCTTTCAAATGTCTGCCCCCTACGCCCCTGCCCCAAGATGTTAGGCTATATTGGATGTCAGTCTTCTCCATGAACCATTAACTCCTGAAATGGTCTCTTACTTTGTCACTCACTCATCATAGTTGGAAAGGAGGGTGACCAACCATCCTATTTTTCCTGGGGCTAAGAGGGTTCCTGGGGTATGGGACTTTCTGTACTAACAGTGAGAAATCCCTGAGCAAACTGAATGAACGGATTACCCCACTGGAAACGTTCCAGAGAGACAATCTTCAGAAAAGGTGGTGATGGGAATAAATATGATCTTTTGTGTATTGTGTATATTGAGAAGGTGTCTTAGATATCTGCTAATGCTATAAGAGAAATGTAGTGGCTGGCTTTAGCAAACAAACTGATTCTCTCACGGTTTAGGAGGCTAGAAGTTCAAATTCAAAGCACTGACTCTGGAGAAAGGTTCTTGTTTCCTTTCAGCATCTGTAGGCCCAGCAGTCCTTGGAGAGCTCCATGTGTGTTGGCATCAACCTTTCTCTGGATCTAGGAGCTACACAGTGCAGGGACCCACTCCACTCCTGGCTCTTACTTTCTTGGTGGTAGTAGGTCACTCTTTCTCTGCTAACTTCTCTCTCTTTTTATCTTTTGTAAGATAAAAGATGTTGTAGGCCATATCCTTGGGGAAACTCCCCTACATCACACTAAGGTTGTGAGGGAATTTAGGGTCTTGCAGCCCACCCTTAATCCACTTATTGGTTTATCACATCAGATCACATCATGGAGAATCATCACTTAACTACCAACCCACTGAGAATCATGTCCCAGCCATGCTGACACATATT